TCTGAACCTCCGACTCCTCCTCCACACTCTGAACTTCTCCCCACACACTCCTGACCTCCTCCTCCACACACTCTGACCCCCTCCTCCACACACTCTGACCTCCTCGTCCCCTCCACACTCTCGACCTCCTCCTCCACACTACCTGACCTCCTCCTCCTCCCCACCTCTGACCCTCCTCCCTCCTCCTCCTCCACACACTCTGACCTCCTCCTCCACACACTCTGACCTCCTCCTCCACACACTCTGACCTCCTCCTCCTCCCACACACTCTGACCTCCGCCTCCACACACTCTGACCTCCTCCTCCTCCTCCACACACTCTGACATCCTCCCTCCTCCACACACTCTGACCTTCCTCCTCCTCACACTCTGACCTCCTCCCCCTCCTCCACACGCTCGGACCGCCCTCCTCCCCACACTCGCTCCTACCCCCCACACTCTCTGACCTCCCGCCTCCTCCTAACCTCCACACTATGACTCCTCATCCGCCTCCAACTCGAGCTACTCACGCACCACTCTGACCCTCCTCCTCCCCACACCACGCTACCTCCGCCTCCTCCCACCACTCTGACTCCTCCTCCTCACACTCTCTGACCTCCTCCTCCCACCCAGCATCCGCCACCTCTCTGACACCTCCTCCTCCTCCTCCTCCAACACACTCTGACCCTCCCCTCCGCACACACTCTGACCTCCTCCGCTCCTCCTCCTCCACACCTCCTACCCTCCTCCTCCTCCTCCTCACACTCTGACCTCCTCCCCTCCTCACACCTCTGACCTCCTCCTCCTCCACACCTCTGACCGCCTCCTCCCTCCACACTCTCTGACCTCCTCCTCCGCCTCCTCCTCACACCTCGGACCCTCCTCCTCCACCTCTGACCTCTCCTCCTCCACACTGTCGACCTCCTCCCTCCACACTGCCTACCTCCTCCTCGCCTCCACACGCTGACCCTCCTCCCACTCCGCCACACACTCTGACCTCCTCCTCCACACACTCTGACCTCCTCCTCCGCCCCACTCTCTGACCTCCTCCTCCTCCGCCTCCACTCCTCGACTCCTCCCTCCTCCTCCACAATCTCTGACCTCCTCCTCCTCCACACACTCTGACCTCCGCCTCCCTCCACACTCTCTGACCTCCTCCTCCTCCTCACACTCTGACCTCCTCGCCTCCTCCACCACCACTCTGACTCCTCCTCCTCCTCCACACACGCTGACCTGACCTCCTCCTCTCTCACTCCACACCTCTCTGACCCGCCTCCTCCTCCTCACACTCTGACCTCCCTCCTCCTCCACACTCTGACCTCTCTGACCTTCTCCTCCTCCACACTCTCTGACCTCCTCCTCCTCCTCACACTCTGACCTCCTCCTCCCTCCACACACTCTGACCTCCTCCGTCCTCCTCACACTCTGACCTCCCTCCTCCTGCACACACGACCTCCTCATCCTCCTCCTCCTCCACACTCTCTGACCTCCTCCTCCTCCCACACACTCTGACCTCCTCCCTCCTCCACACACTCCTGACCTCCTCCCTCCTCTCCTCCCTCCTCCACACACTCTGACCTCCTCCTCTCCTCCACACATCACTGACCTCCTCCCCTCCACACACTCTGACCCCCTCCTCCCCACACACTCTGACCTCCTCCTCCTCTCACCACCTCGACTCCTCCTCCTCCTCCACACACCTCTGACCTCCTCCTCCTCCCTCCTCACACACACTCTGACCTCCCCTCCTCCTCACACTCTGAACCCTCCTCCTCCACCACTCTGACCTCCTCCTCCCTCCACACACTCGACCTCCTCCTACCTCCTCCTCCTCCACACACTCTGACCTCCTCCTCCTCACAACTCGGACCTCCTGCCCCTCCTCCACACACTCTGACACCTCCTCCTCCTCACACACTCTGACCTCCTCCTCCACACACTCTCTGACCTCCTCCTCCTCTCACACTCTCTGCCCTCCTCCTCCTCACAACCTCTGACACGACCCTCCTCCTCACCCCTCCTCACTCCACCTCCACACACTCTGACCTCCTCACCTCCTCACACTCTGACCTACCTCCCACACTCTGACCTCCTCCTCCACACACTCTGACCTCCTCCTCCTCCCCACACTCTGACCTCCACCTCCTCCACACACTCTGACCTCCTCCTCCTCCTCACACTCTGACCTCCTCCCTCCTCCTCCT